GAGAGAAAAAAAAAAAAAAAAAAAAAAAAAAAAAAAAGTAACTGCTACGTACTTCCAAATACGAAAAAAGATTGAGAGATAAACTTTGAATTTTTTTTGTTTGTGAAGAATGTGAGAGTGAATTCATACTTGTTTGATCTTATGTTCACGGTCAACATTAAACCAATCCAAAAACTCGACTCAACCCAACTCGACGTATATTCATGTTGTAGTTCTTTACCGACTCCAACCATCTATATTGTCTCATATTAAATTAAATTTCTTATACATGAAAAATACTATAATCTAAAAAAAAAAAAAAAGATCATTATCCAAATCATTCATTACGTAGTTCGCACTCATTATTTTAACTCCGAAAATGTCTAAAACACAACCTTCATATACTATTTCAAAACACGTCTACTCATTTCTTACCTACTAATATGCACAAAGACCAAAACCAATCTCACTTAAGCTCTTTTTTTTTTTTTCTTCTTCAACTAAGGCAGCGAAGAGTCGACATCGAGGTGTCAAACCTTTTCGTCGATGTGAGCTCTTGGAGAAGATCAACCTTTTATCCCTAGAGTAACTTTTATCTGTTGAGCGACGACCCTTCCACTCGGCACGGTCAGATCACTAAGGCCGACTTTCGTCCCTGCTCAATGGTTGGGTCTTGCAGTCAAGCTCCCTTATGCCTTTACACTCGAGGGCCAATCTTCGTCTGGCCCGAGGAAACTTTTGCACACCTCCATTGCCTTTTGGGAAGCCTAAACCCCCATAGAAACTGTCTACCTGAGACTGTCTCTTAGCCTGTAGGTCATGACACAATGTTAGAATTCTGACTTTTCTAGAGTGGTATCTCACTCATGGCTCGGGCCATTGGAGAGGCCTTCTTCACCATCCATTAAAAACCAACAATAATACAACATGTTCCAAGGAAATCGCCCTCCTTAAAGCTAAAATTCAAACTTTGAAAATTTGACATACAATTGATTTCCTCTATGAGTGTCTAAGTGGATACCATAATATTGTACATGAACATGATTAATAATGCATCAAAAAAAAAAATGAAATATTACAATTCTTTTTTTTAGTATATTTGAAACAAAAAAAAAAAAGAAAAATTAGTTAAATTTATTAAAGATTTGACATTATTTCTTTCCTTTTATAGTTCAAGAATGAGAAAACTAAATCTTGGATTTTTTAGTATGATATTCATGTAACTAAACCAACATAAAATGAGCAAATTCTGTTGAGAAAAAAGTATTGAAACGCCACTACATTTTAATGCTCCATTGAAACTCCAAGATCATCCCATCAACCAAGATGATGTTCAAGCTTGATCGCTTCGCTCCTCTCCTGAAGGCAACCTCCACACTTGCTCTAATCGGTGAGAAAGCCGACCTTAGAATCACACCGATTATGTTATCGTTAGAGGTCAAACATCCTTCCCCCGCCTTCAATGCAGGCCTCCTGTTATCGCCTGGATTCTTCACCTTCTATTACACCAATAAAAGTCACCATTATTCCATAATCTCACTTGAATTATTCTACATCACCATGAATATCATGAACGCCCGTGGCTTCTCTTCAATGCTCTTCTTCCTTATCGAACGCTCAAACCGCCTTTACCTAAGATTTGATCATTCAAGTTAGTATTATTTCTTCCATGCACAATAATTCTTGCTTAATCTTGCTTTTCTTTTCCTTAATTTCGTTTTAATTTTATAGAGATTGAGCCGAAAGTCACGTCGTTTCGTGAGTTGACATTGAATCCTCCAGAGATGAATCACCTAGCCCGACTTGATTATGGAACCTTTGTCTCAATTGATTCACCAACATTCAGAAGCATCGTAACAGAATTACGTGCTGATTATGGTAGTGTTTTTTATTCTTATTGATTTTCTTATATTTCTTGAAACGTTTTGCCTCTAATTTCTATCCACAATTGTTGCAGCTCATGTTACTTTAACGGACTCACAAGTCAAATTCTCCAATGCAGATAAGGAGATTGTTCTTACCAAAAGGGTATGTCGTGTTTTAATGTTCAAGAAATTTGTGAGCCTTTTTTTTTTTTTACCGAATTTGATTGATGTTTTGCAGAAAAAACAATGCATAATTGGAGATGTTACAGAAAAGGATGAAATTAAATTTGTAATCGCTCTTCAACCCACGATGTTTTTTCATGATTTGAGCCATCAATCAGCGCGGGTGTGGTTGTTCAAGTCGAGTAATTCGTCTAGTGCGATGATTGTTCCTGTTGGAATGTATACTCAATTTTGGGTCTATTTCCCTCCTAAAGAGTGATATGTAAAACAAATTTCTTGTTTGCAAATAAACACACTCGTTCTTTTCTCGAGTATGCAGTTCTTCAATAAAAGATTTTCAATTTTTCATTAGCTCTAATCCCAACTTATCCGATTAAGTTGTCGTGGGATGCGACTTTGTGTACTTGCTGGTTACTAGATTACTTGTGTGGTCTCACACCTCCTTTAAGGACTGGTTTACAATGTAGAGACTCTGATCATAAGACCCCTAAGCCTTAGCGTGCTACACTATTGACCTAGGCCTAATTTGATGGTACATATACTCCTATTACTTGGTAGGGTGCAAAAATATGGTAAAGTTTCGCATGAGCTAAAGTCTTAGGATTCCATTGTTAAAATTCAAAACGAAAACATTACGAACCTGAGTGCTATTCAAGTTATTTACAAATGGAGAACCAATTACAAAATATGAAAATAAAGACTAAACTAATGTCTTGGGTCAAAACCCCTATATGACAGTATAATCTCGAACACTCCCCCATCTTGACGGCAACCAGTGAATACTTGACAAAAAAATTGTACAAAACTACTCGGTAAATAACCTACTTGTTGACTATCATCGCATCCTTAAACTAGTATGTTACTATGAGTTTTTCTTTAAGCTTTAACAAGTTTATGTATAGTTCAAGAATCCTCTAGCTATTACTACACATGAGGCACCTATCATGAGCTAAATTATTTATCATAAACACAATAGGGCCCCAATTAACTACTTATGTAGTCTCTCGTCCTCTTTTAAGGTTGGTTTATTATACATTAGATAGTAGCTTCTCATGTTATCTACTTGTGTAGTACCTCGTCCTTTTTCAATTCAGGTTTATTCCTTTGTAGTTATTCCTCGTGTCTTCTATTTGTATAGTTCCTCAACTCCTCTCATGGTTGGTTTATTCTACACACGGTAGTAACTCTTCTAGTCAACTATTTATGTGGTTTCACATATTTTCTCTAGGCTAGTTTATTCTACACACAATAGTGACTTCCTAAATTGATCATGTTCACGCGGAGAGCTTTCATAACTTCTCTTAAAATCCTTGGGCGTGGTAGCGGTTAATAGATTCTTAGGGCATCTAGGCGTTTAGATCTCATCTTGCATTTCAAGTCGCTTGAGGTTAGCTCTCTGGGGATAAACCAATCTATAGGTTCACTCAAATCTTGTTCTCTGATCACCACTCGTGATCCTTGAGTGCTCAGTCAACTGCAAACATATTGACTTCAGTGAACGTGAAAATCATTCTAGCTTTAGCGCTCTATTTTTAACTTGGTTCACTCATGCATACTTGGTTAAGGAGATACTCATATTGATCACATAAAGTACGAGAAATATAATCTATTTCTTCATGCATACTTATTAGGTACATATTCCT